TTAGCATGATTAGAGAGAAAAAAAAAGAAGTAATTAATGACCATTTCTAGTGTCTGCTTCACGACATAAGAATTAAATGCCTATCCGTTATTTAAGAAATAATTCATGGGGGCTTGAATATATCGTGATTTTACCACGGGTTGTCCCTTTATGACAAATATTTTACCCTGAGCGATAGGCCAACCCGTGGTAAAATCACGATATATTCAAGCCCCCATGAATTATTTCGATTCTAATAGGATAAATACGGCAATTGTTTTGGATCGAAGCGCTCTAGATGAAGGCTTTATTTGCCGTTCCCATAAATAAACGCACTATTAAATTGACGTAAAAGACCGGAGCAAACTGAATAAATGACATGCTAAAACTATTTACAATAACATATTTAGATAGGTTTGGATGAATCTAAATGATAATTGTACTTATATGTCTTATATGTATAAAAAAAAAATGGCTTATATAACACATTTTATCATCGTTTGTTTACGTTTCCTTGTTGAGATGATTTTCGGTTTCACAAGCGTGTATTTTCCCGTAAAATGCTTATATTCTTACGTCATCGTTCTATGACGTCGGGTAGCTCATTCATAAAAAAGCATATGACGCGGGAGTACGATTGGAACAGCCCAAACAATATATTCATATTTTACCACGGGTGTGTACTCAAAGCGTTTGAAGAACGTCATGTTAGAATTAATATCATGTTTTGTTATAACATCTTGCCGTAATTTGTAAATAAATATAAGTTTTAAAAAGTATTCGTTATAGAGTGCGATTATTGAACTTGCAGTACTGTTGAGCGAGTCCTTATGGTTTAACGCTTAAAAATATTCCGATCCTCATTTTTGAAGACATACATATTTAATTAGAGAGAATTTAATGATTAAGAGATTTCTTCCATTAATTTAATGCAGTTCAAAACATATAACTTTTATGCTTGCGTAGATTCAGAATGAAAAATAAACCATTATTCCCTCCCTCTTCAAAGTTAAATGGTCGTTTCATTAGATTTTTACATCATGTCTTAGATTTTATTCTGGAAGAACATGGTATACAATTTAGTTGACATTTTGCCTAAATGTATTTATAGTAATGCTATTTGTTTTTGTGCTTAGTATATTTATCTGATCAGCCAAGCCAATTCTACCCGATTTTACAGCGCATTTTTATGTTGTTACACCAATGTCACAGACTTGGGCTTTAACGTGAATGATCTACTGGTCATTGTCACAAGTTAAGGGAAGTGTTGAGAGCTCACAATCAAGTTTAACTCCCCCATGTTTTTATATGCCGACCAAAAGCCAGGAATCTGTAATCCAGGATTTGTCCTTGAACACTCTATGTCATATTCTCTTCTCCTTTTCTCGCTCCACATTTTGTCACACTGGGGCTTTTTTACATTCTAATTATTGTCTTATTTTTTCAGTGTTGTTTTTATTGACAATAATACTACATTTGAAATAGATGGTTCAGTGGACATGTTTCATATGATGCATAAACTTCTCAGTTTGGATACTCTTAGGTTGGTCCCCTACGTAAAATATTCAGTATGCTTTCGGAATATACAAACTTGTCAAACAACGACCGGGTACCAGTCTAGGGTTCTCTGCAATACACAGTGAAAACCTTAGACATAATGACCATTTAAAGTTTGTAAGAAAAATAAGACATGAACTTGCGAAACATAAGGTTGTATGTCGAATATTCTACAACTACGATGTAAACAGAAAAATACCGTTCTTCATTCGTCATTTTATATTTAGCTTACTTTTCTGAAAAGAAGGTGTTCGACTTTTTCAAAAATGTTTAAAAAAGATATCCTTCAAATGCCAGTATCATCAGCCAGTCGGTTATCATTAGATTTTAGCAGTTCATCTGTATCACAAATGATCATTCTGACAAATTTGATTTCTTTCTTTTCTTCGTTTCCAGTTATTTTTAAAAAAACTTTTCATAAGACCGTAAGGAAAACCATCGAAGAACTTTATATATTTCACTAGTACATTGGAAAATGTTTCTGTTATATTTATTTCTATATTAGAATTTCTATTTGATTACATTATCTTTATTATGTTTATGCTGCATTATAAAATGAAATGAATTTGGAAAAAAATTATAAAGTCAACTGTACATGTTTAATGGTTTAACGGGGGCCACATGTGGTGCAAGATCTGCAGACTCTTCCAGTACACCTCAAATTCACAGAAATGTTATTTTTGGTGAAAGAATATTATATTTCAAGCATCATAGCAAAGCCCATCCACTTTTAAGATAAATTGACATCGCAACAACTCGTTCACTTTGAAGATAAATTGACATCGCAACAACTCGTCCACATTGAAGCTAAATTGCAATAGCAGTTCAATGTTAACGATCCACATGGTGAACATTGTATTTCATTCCCTTTGATAAATCGGTTCATTGATTTCATGTTTATTTTAGACATAGACACACATACCGTATCATTAGCACTCTATCTCTACTTGTGTCAAAACATAGTTGGAACAGAGAATCATGTTAAAATAATCAGACAACTGAATACTGTCAGGGATAATGTGAAGAGCACCAAACGTCTTGCAACTATCACAAGTGGAAGTTTTGGAGAAGGGCTAGAGATGAGAGGTATCGATTTAGATATGATGCTAATTTTGTCAAGTAGATTAGAAAGATATATATTGTGATAAATTGCATACTAGTTTTGTGGTTACGTAAGTAGCCATCAAAATGTGCTTTACAAATGCATGCTGTTGATGTCAATACTAGTAAAAAAAAAAATTATTGTTCAAAATGAAAATAATTGATCAGATACAATTTTTACTACTCAGTTACGTCTTTTCCAAATTCTAAATAAGGTAGTATGTTTCATAAATATTTCTTTATGAATAAGATTGAAATGTATTAAGCAATCACATTTCATAGAACCATTACTCCTGAAGGATGTTTGCTACTCTTATGACTTATCACTTTCTATTTCATTACATATAGTGTACAATGCCAATATTTGAAAATCTGATAAAATTCTTGTTAATATTTCATAGTATTTTGAAAGATAAAAGGTGGCAATGTCAAATGTATGAAAACTCTAGAGAGAATCATTTCTCGCCAAATTTTCAATTGATTATCTCTCTTAACAATGATTCGGACCTATATTTTTTTTTCTATTTTTTATGTTCCGTTATTCATAAACTATCATGCAATATAATTATAAATGATTTTTAATAACAATTACCAGAAAAAATATCTTATTTATATTTCATATTGTTAGGCTCAAAAATGAACTCAAACGGAATCGAAATTTCCTAGCTAACATTTTACATGTACTCGTAAATTCCAAATTTGCCACAGGCTGGAAAGTCTTTCTATTTCTATTTGAAGTGAAAATATTGCAAGCAAAACTTCACTTGTAAAGTAACGTCTGGTTGACACTTGTCATGTGACAGCTAACAAAAGGAAATCTAGAGTGTAACAAACAGTATTCAACAATAGTGTTTATACAGTCTCAAACTTGTCCCGAGTCTACAAAGATATAAATGAAGAAATAATAATCAAAGATCCACATTCCACACCAAATTTAGACTGTTTTTGTCTTATTTTCCCTGTAAATTATTTATATATGTGAATGATGAAGATGTGTTTATTAATGGTTATTTAGATGCAACAGGCACCAAGGGGCGATGCTCTTGGGTTGTCGACTCTTGCAAACATAACTGTCTTCATGAAGAGAAACAAATATAAAGGTAACAGAAGTGCAACCTTGTACTTGTGTCATTCATACCAAATTACTTATACCGCAGTAATAAGTTTTGTGACAACAAGGGACGGTGCTCAACGAACTGTGTGATATAAAATACTAAATATAGTATCTCACACAGTCCACCTTGTGTCTGAAGCAGACAGAAAAGCTACATTAAGCATAACTTTTAGAAAAATATTTACCAACAACAAAGAATCTTCTGTGTTCATAAGCCATATTAGTTATATCACTTGAGTTAAAGAGAGGAAACATATAAAGTAGAGACATTCAAACTCTTAAGTGAAGTAAAAATATCAAACATTATTGGCTTTCCATGTAGTACGACAAATGCACTGAACTAGATAAAAACTGTCTCCCGATGATACATCTAGATGTTTACAAAGAAGCGTATTGCAGATATTAAAACCCGAACTTGTTGGATGTTACGAATTTGTTCACGTACTTTTTAAGGGAACCGGACACTGCATGTGAAATGTAATGAACGTGCTCGGAAGTCATTTTCGGTATTGATATATTAAAAGTGGTAATTTTATTCAAATTAAGCAGAACTTGGTTATTGTCGTACAGATGAATTACAATTAGAAGTGTATATCAGAACTCGATCTATATTTTGAACTTTTTGTTTAAAAGAGCTAGGACAATTGCTCTAGAAAAGGTTGCATAATCGCAAAGATTAAAGTGTTCGTATTCGTTTTAATACTTGATTCAAATGCAGGGTTATATGCACTGTAAATAAAAGTGTTAAGAATCTGAACACTTTTTGAACGCCCTTTTGTAACACTTCTGGAACGCGTAACAGTGTTCTAAATATTAACATTGGTGTTCCAGTTTTTAACATCATGTGTGCATCTTTCGAACGCCATATGTGTTATTCTTGAACGGAGTGTGTACTCCTTGAACGCCTAGTGTTTGAATCTGGAACATGTCCTTGTGAGCAAAATTGTACGCCGTTACGCGTTCCAAGCCTTGTAACACTTCTGGAACACTCGGACTGTGTTCCAGAAATATGTGTTAATATCCAGAACACATAGAGTATACTACTGGAACACAATTTTACATGTTCCAGAAAAAAGTGTTCCATTCTCTGAAACATTATTGTGGTCTTGTAAAAATCATAATTTAATTGATTAAAAACATCTTTAATTGATTAAAAGAGGCAAAATTAAAAAAAATACAAAAATGTGAAATATTGAAGCAACTTTAAAATGACAAGTTAGACAAGTTAGAAATATAACATTAGACAACGAAAAATTACACTATAATTTAATTGGCAAAATGTGTCCAAATATTTAATCAGACAAAATTTTCGTCACATTCAAAATTATTATGTTACAACAAAGTCTATTGGCTTATGAACACAGTTTAACTCATCGTTTGCAACTTCTTAAGTCAAGCACTGTCCTGAATTTCTTTACAAAAAACTGATGTCAATGGCTCGTTTATCACCAATATTTCCATAATCCACAGCCTGTATAGCACTCAGATAGTCAATATCAAACATAAAATACCCTGTATATATGCTGCTAGTAGTCGAGTCGGTGTTCATGTAACACTGCTACCTTGGGTATTTTTAAACATGATTTGAGTCGTCTACAACTGTTTTTGAGCTTCCATTTTTAAGAGGATTCGTCTCCTTGGGTTATAACTATTCTTTAACCTTGTTATCCATCAACCGTAAGTTCTGAAATGTCAAATATAAAGTGTACGAGTAAACAAATTATTGATCATGTCGATATTCCTTAAGAATTAGAAACTCTTATTTCGTTTTTGCAATTCCATTATATTTGTCAGCATCATTAGATTTTGTTTGCAATATTTGATAAGATGCATTTGTTAAAGAGTGGTATACATGTATTTTCAAGTATAGGGGCTCTCGTGTTCTACAGCTTTTTGAAAAAAAAGATGATAGGAAGTGTACAGCAAAAAGTCATAGGTGTTTTAGGCAAAACTTTGTCTTTAGACTTGTCACTTAATTAACTGCTAACATTTCAAGAAACTAATGACTATTTGCCTGTTTTCAAAAAGATATGTATTAATTTCACTTATGATCTGTATACGGATAATTCCAATTTAAATTGATGTAATTATATTGGATTTAACTAAACTAGTTTTCTGATTCATGTACACATGTGAATGGTGCACATATTATTGATAAATCTGCATTAACAAAACTTCAAAAATTGTAAGAAGTCAATGGGCACTCCTAAAATTATTAAACTTACATAAAGTACTTTTATGGTGCAGGATAAGTCGTCATCTCTGGAACTGCGAAATTTTCTCTTCATTCTCGAGGTATGCACGAACAATACTGTAGTTGTGTTTGTACCCTATAAAAGTAACATCGGAATACATTACAATACATGTATGAAGTGCACAACGGTGTGCATTTGCTAAAATGAATTACTAAGAATTAAGTATTTAAGAATGAGAAAGCTATTAAAAACAGAAACATTAGAAATTTAAAATTAGTGTGTTGCAGTATGCATTTTTACAAACCTCTGTCTTGACATTGCAATGTCATGACAGTGTTTGTATATGTGAACAAATCCTTATGCATTGTTTTTATTTATTAACAAATGTACATCCTCAAAAGTGTGGATAATGAAAACGATTAACTGGAACGCATCATGTTCGAGACCAGAACACATTTACATTAGCAACGATATCATTATCATTTACGTATAAATTTACATTGGTTAAAAATTAAAAAAAACATGATCATTTAAATGTATTCTCTCAAAGAACCTCCTACTTTTTTAATCGAATTATGGCATAACAGCACAGTTATGTGTTCAAACAAAATGTTCTACTTTAAGGCCATTTATACTTCAGTGTGTCCTGTCAAAGTAGAAATTTGTTTATTAAATACTAAATAAATAAATTTTAAGTTCCTAATTTGTTATAAATATAGATATACATACCTATTAAATCATGTTTTGTTGTAAATTTTCTTCAGTGAAGCTTCTTCAATCGCGATCAAAAACCAAACTTCCGGTACATTAATACGTCACGCGCTGTTATATACGCGGACATGTTTTGAACACATGGCGTTCGGGGAAAATGGTAAATTTGAACGCATCGTTTTCGACACCAGAACGCTTTTACAATAGCAACGCTTTCATGAGCATATACGTATTTACATTGGTTAAAAGATATACCCAAAGAACTTAAGTCGTTTAGAAAAAAGATGTATATTAAAAATCAATCATTTGCACGCTTATAAATACGCTCTTGTAACATGTTTTAATTTTTTTTTACCAAACTGATAATTTGCTTATGTTGATACAGCTAAAATACATTTATCGTCAAATTATAATACGAATCACCCTTATTCATCGTCTGTTTGACTCTGAAGCGATGAAATATTTTTTCACTCCCCATTACAATATTAGAACACTAAAGTGTTCAATTTAGAACACTGGTATTGAACATATGCGTTAAAAGACTGAACACAATGTGTTATATTCTTTAACGCTGGCGTTCAATGTGGAACACTAATGTTAACAGCCGAACATATTGTGTTTAAAATAGGAACGCGTCCGGACGCGTCAGGCGTCCGCAATATTTACAGTGTGAATACACGCTTGCCTTGACGATAGACTTCGGGATGTTTAAACGCTGATTTATACTTTAGATACACTATGAATCTAATGACTAGTTTTTAATAACTGAATATGACAAATTCTCCTGGATAACCAGACGTACAAAAAAAAAGGGCAATACAAGTCTTTGAGATGATTATTTTCAGGAACATGAAACATGCCGTGAATTAAGAGAACGTAACATATGCTATGAAATATTATCTATAATTTGTTATATTCACATGTTTTACCAAGTATCATTTTCATGATCAATATCAAACATGAAAATGTCAAGTTTTAAAAATGTAATTGCACGCAATCAGTCAATTATATAAATATAAGTTGTGTTCTTTTTAATTGAATAACTATCTCTACTGTGGTTTGGATTACATGTGAAAAATATGAAGATGATTATTATATATATCATGCTTTTTTCTATTTTTCAGTTAGCAAAATCTGAAAAACAAAGTTCAGCCAATGAACAACGTTTTACTGTTACCATAAACGGCGTGTCGAAGACTATACCTATAATAGGATATTTGTTACAACAGAACTATGAACATTCGAATCCCGCAGAGTGGAAACGGTTTAAAGATAGGATGGACGAGAAACAACGAGAATTAAACAGCAAAATGGAACAAGTATCGCCTATAAATAAGTCAATAGAAGAAAGGGTGTTCAAAACATTTAAAAGTCTTGAGAGAAGAATGAAAACTATAGAAAAAGACACGTCTAATATATACAAGCTCCAACAAATTAACATTAAAAACATCACCAATCTTGCATCGAATTTAGATATAGTTAAAACGACGACCAACAACCTGCAAGTGAGAATAGCAGAAGGTATATATACAGAACGTAAACCGGAGGATTGAATAATTTATAATAATTGGATAGTTAACCAATACAATATCCTTTGATATAAATTCATTTCAATTGTGAGTTGATTTTGTGCTTTGAATCGGACTGATGAGTTAAGCTCTTTGCAAATGCTTTATGTAGTTTTTTCTGATGTTGGGTTGTTACATCACTGTAAAATGTAAAAGGGGATAAGGCATGTTTATCTCCGACACATTATTTATGTACTTGTCCCAAGTCGGGAACCAGTAATCTAGTATCTTTATTTGATTGCTGTTTGTGATATTTGGGTTTCGTTTATTTATTCGTAGAATTTCTTCTTGTCTCATTTTGCTGCACCACCGTCAAGGGTTTAGGGTGAGAAATGGGCGTTTGCTAATCTATTAACTCATCACATTCTGTGTGTGCCTGTCTCGAGCCATGCAAGAACCTGTTATTCTGATTTTGTCGTTTGTTACTGTATATTATTTTCTTTTTCGTGAACACAAAACAGGCCGTTAGTTTTCTTGTTGAGATTGTTTTACAAACATTTTTTAGATACTGATATAAGCCAACATCTTTGACATTATCGCTTCGGAATGACGAAATTTATAGTTTATATGTTTAACACATTTTAAAAACATATTTGTAGCCATTTGTATAGAAAGTTTATATATTTTTTTAATTGATAGTTATAGCATAATTAAAAGAAATAGCATTTCAAGGGTTGACATTTACGGATTATAAAAGACATTTTAAAACTCTTATTTTTAGGAATATGTCGGTTGTTTCCAAGATGGTACGGACATGCTTTTAGAACACAAGATAACATTATTTGGTAACAAAATAACACTTGCGTTATGCAAAAGACACTGCAAAGGATACAAGTTCACGGGACTACGGGTAAACTTACTTTATAATGTTCATAGTATTGATGTTTTACGATTTTGTTTTTTATTATTTTTTTTATTTTCGTATATTTTCATATGCATGAACTCATATTCTTCAATGCATAGGCGTTTTGATTAAGAAAAATATAACATTTTGCTTTAATTCCATTGCGGGTTATTTTGTGTGTTTTTATTTGGCTGAAGACAATAGTAGCACGTCTGTGTTTTTCGTTATTTTTTTATTTCACTACATTAATGAAAACATATAAATAAAATCCAAAAGTATATCATTACAATAAAAGGTAGAGTAAATGTATCGATTCTTTTTTTTTGCGAATAAAGCAATTTTAATGTCTATAGTTTATTTAACTCAAAATAACTGTATTAAATGAAAATGCATTTCATATTTTCAACTGGACTTTTCACATTAGTCCTCTAATCCTCAGTCATGACGTTGAAAACTATTTATTTACCTCATGCGGTGTTAATGGTCATCTTTAGGACTCGCGTAAATCGAAAAACATTAAACGGAATGATAGAAATGTTAATATTTTTTTAATAGGCAGGTCAATACTGTCTCTGTGGAAATAATATCAACTCACAGAAGGCATACCACCAACTATTACCCGAATCTAGTTGCAGCATGAAATGTTTTGGTGAACCTACTAGAAATTGTGGTCACCACGGAGTTAATTCCATATATAGAGGTAATATAAACGGAAAAGATTTCTTTTAGATCGATGAACCTTAAATGATTATTTTTTTTGTGGTTGTCTTGTTTAATTGTTGTCATGATACACAGATAAGAGGATGTGGCAATATTTCCAATGAGACACCTCGCAACAAACGATCAAATGACATAGACGTTAACCATTTTATGTTACTGTTCGGCCTTCCACTATACGCAAAACAAATACTGCGTAACGAGTTATAAATCAGAAATTGGTACCAGATATGACAACTGTTTTCAACCGAGTAAACTACTGACTTGATTTATGAACAACAATAAACGAAAACCATGTATGATATATAACCAAAAAAACACGCAGCCGCTGAAGGGACATGCAAATACAGAATGTATACAGATTGTTGCGGGGTTACACCTATTTTTGGGTGTCCAACCATCCGCTACAACGCAGATGTAACAGCACAACATTAAAACAAACTATAAATGTTTCCATCATTCCTTTTTTTCATATTAGACACCATATATTTTGACTGGCGTAGTTTTCTACTCAATGAAGGCGTATTGCAATCAATTTAAAATACATACGTGCAACAGACACATTACTATGACTCAAGTTTCTTTAAGATTTTGATTATGCATACAAATAAGGTATGAATCTTTGAATTATTTTAAATGACAAAACTATTTTCAAATATTATACATAAACATATTAAATATGTTTTCAATTCGGTAAAGCATGTATGATTCATGTTATATATGTAAAGTATGATTCATGTTATATATGTAAAGCATGATTATCCCTTGTATGCTTTGCAATCATTGATTTTATCACATTAAATACTTACGCCAAATTCGCCTCTGAAGAGTTCAACATTGGAAATGATTTACCTTATTTACCATGTTTATCATCACTTTCCTAAACACTTTTTTCTTTATTTGTAGTATGAGGCAGGCAGAGGAAAAATTACTGTTTCAGAAATTTTTCCTGAATAAAGTATACAATTGCTGACAGTTCGTCGCTTTTTTATAGGCCCGTTTAGGGTACTAATATAGTAAACCGTTGCTCGTCTGTTCGTTCGTCCGTACATCCATCAATCCGTCAACAACATGTCGGACACTAACTCAAAAACACTTCAATCAATGTTCCTGAATGTTTGGTGAATTGTTTATATCTTTCGCAGTAAGCTGCCTTTCGATTTTTATAAATTTTAGATTTGACATTTTTGAGTAATGCGATTTTATTCAATGAAAGGGGTGATTTTCTCGTTTTCGAACAGTTACTCAAAAATGCTTAGAGCAGTTTTTTTTTTGAAACTTTGGTCACAGGATTATATCTGTCACAATAAGCTCCCTTTATTTATTTTTGTTCATAAATATCTGAGGAGTTATGGAATTTATTCATTGGAAAAGCGACGAGCGTATCATGCGCCGATTGCGCAGCTCTTTGCTAATGACATTATAATGTCTTGGTCGAGAAAGATATATTCTTACCTATGAAAATAGATGAATTGATACAGCAATTAAATTGCATCTAACCAAATATATAAATTTGTGAAAAAAAAAAGAAACTGAACAGAAACAAAAAAATCAGAAAGAAATAAAAAAATAAAATAAAACAAATATCAAACAGCTTCTTCTTCTGTGTCAAAAAGCAATGCCTTGGTAGTAAAATTGCCATTGTAATCAGAGCACGGATGTGATGTAAAGTTTTTAACTGGAAATTCACCACTAATAGCAAAAGTAAATTTACTTTGTTCTATCGAGAACGCAAAAACATTGTTCCTGGAAAATCAATAGTTTGGCGTCACAACAGCCGCGTACAAAATGGAATTTGCAAATTATTCCACTCAAGATCATTTGAATAGTTCTACATCACTCTGACGCATCATTTTATATCTGAAGTACTAGTGTTCTTAGCAGGAATGAATTATAATACATTATCCAATCCAAATCACAAATAGCTAAGCTTATTTCAGGGGTAATTTTGTACTCCAGTTCCTGGAAAGGGTGGTTTATAGTTATCGGGAAATTATTCCGTTCACCCGTTCGTCGTTCCGTTCCACCTTGTATTTTTTGAATTTGGTATATACTCCGATAATTGGATAGAAGGGATTGCTATACCTGTATCAAAGAAAGGGGATCTTTCAAAACCCTAACAACTATAGGCCAATCATATTGATTAATGTATTTTCAAAGATCTTTACTTCAATTTTGAATAACCGTCTACTGTGTTGGGCCGAAGATTTTGATTTCGCCGCCAAAAATCAACTGTCGATGCTGTTTTTATTCTTCATGGAATAATACCAACAACCCTGTCACAAAAGGAAAAACTGTATTCAGCATTCGTGGACTTTTGTAAGGCTTTTGCCAATGTCGACTGTCGCATACTTTGGTATAAGCTTTAAATAGTGGAATTAGTAGCAAGTTTGTTGCCATGGTGCAATCAGTTTATGCAACTATTAATATTCGTGTTAAATGAGATGGATTACTTTCAGATTTTTTTCAATTAATATTGGTGTAAAACAGGGCGAACAAACATAGATTGAAAATAAACTGACAACGCCATGGCTAAGATATCTCGTAAAGTATATAATATATCTTATAAAGTATATAAGATATTTTATAAAGTGTATAAGATATCTTAAAAACTATATAAGATATCTTAAAAACTATATAAGATGTCTTATAAAGTACATAAGATATCTCATAAAGTTCACCATAAACTATCTTATAAAACTAGAGTATAAATGATATCTTATATATCATATAAGATGTCTTGTAGCTAGAACAAATAGTAAAACGGCTCGCATACAAAGTAATTCCTTCCGATTTTGATGCTCATTTCTATTTAATTGTTACACCACTTACTCAGACGGGCTAATACATGAATGCTCTATTGGTCCTAGTTACAAGTTAGGGGAAGTGTCGAGGGCTCACAATCAAGTTGTTAACCTCTCCATGTCCATTATATGCCTACCAAAAGCCAGGAACCTTTATCCAGGGTATGTCGTTGACCACACTCTGTCATATAATCTTTTCATTTTCTCTTTCGACTCCATCACAAATAGTCACACTGGACAGTGAATACTCTCAACATAAGGACCATTACAAGCATTTAAAGTTTGTAAGAAAAATAATACTCGAACCTGCGAAATATAAGTTTTCAGGTCGAAAATTCTACAACTTGGATATGAGCAGAAAACTGCCGTTCTTCCGTCGTCATTTTATATCTTACCTGCTTTAATGAATAAAAGATGTCCGACTTTTTTCACAAATGTTAAGAAAGTATTTCATTAAATAGCAGTATAATCAGCCATTTGGTTATCATTAAATTTTAGCATTTCATCAGTATCACAAATAATCATTGTGATATCTCTTCTGTACTGATTTTCACTTGACCAGTCTGAATTGGTCTGAACTTTACTCGACATAACTCGACCCTAGTCTGAACCATACTCGACTGATTTGTACTTTACCCTTATCTTTGCCAATGAAAATAGTCTGAACTATTACTTTACCAGTCTGAAACAGTGTTAACCAATTTTGACCTGTACTCGACCTATTATTTTAGTCTAAACTCGGCTAAACGGCTGAATAAATTTTGACCAGTCTGAACCATAATTGACTACATAACCTCTCCCTTTTTAATCTTAACTGTTCAAATAAATTTCTTTTTAACTGACATGACAACAGCCACAATAAAAATGAAGATGCATTATATATCAGCAGATTTTTACATCCTTGCACGAGTCTCAGATTTATCAAATAGAGATAGTAAAATCAAGTTATCTTATATAATAATTTATTTATATTGATTTTAAAGTTTTAGAGTTTAAAAAATTGTTTTATCTAACAACCACACCTAGTATACTGAGGGAATTAAAACCGTATTAAGGTGCTTCTTGTTTGGCATGTGTTTTTTTTTCCAAACTTAATTTTACGCTCAAATACTCATATGGTCCGGAACAGTTACATACAATAGTTATATAATTATCTTTTTAATGAGGTAACAACAGCCAACAAAATCACTGAAACATATATATATTCGTATTATAATATGGAACACATTACATATATATATTAAAAAGGGATAAAAAAAATAAAGACATCTATAAAACTACTACTAACACAAAGGTTCCTGGTTCGCTTCCCGTTCCGGGATGAAAATTTCAGGGACTCCCTTGACACCATTTGCGAGTATGGTCTTGAGGAAACGATGACAGTCCGTCGGAAGGGGACGATAAAAAGCTGACCCGTGTTAAGTGAGAGTCATATCTCTTGCACGTAAAAGACACCCTTGTAGATTTCGAAAAAAAGCAGTCTAATGCCGCTACAAGGCAGTACTCGCACCCGCAAAGTGGAATGGGATTAATATAAGTTGCAATAACTTTTTTCCCAATCCACTATAAATAAATATGTTTAGACTAAACTAATGTGGATGGATCACATCGAACCTCATACATTTCATACTATCCAGGTTGCAAAAACACTTAATTCCAAATCGTTATATTTTTCAAATAATTGGAAGAGTGTTGAGTATGAGATGCAAACTTATGTATACAAAAAAGTACTACATGTCGTTGTGATGTGGACAATATGCGTAGACTATTCCGCTGAATAGTACTAGGAATAGTTACACACATCAATATAAACAATATAATTCCTGTCTTTGTATTCTGCTTCAAAATATTTATCATGACGCTGTTTCTTGATGGCTGATGTTAACTTCGTTTTTCTATACGTCAAAACAATACAAGAAAGCGTTATGCATCATCATGTATTATTTATCGAAATGTACTCCCGAAAAACTATACAGCTTCATGGATATGTCGGATATTCAATACCAATTGTTCAAACTGAAATTATTTCAGAAGAAAAGTATAGTTCGATTATGGAAAATAATGCTTATAGATTTTATGAAATTTGGAAAAAAATCTTGGTTAATACCAAACGCACTACAAGAGGAAGTGGAAATGGAGTATGTTAAATTTCCTCTATAGTGTATGCTTACTTTCTAAAATTTCTGTGTCATTATCATCTCAATTATGTCAGACAATGTCAGGATTGCCTCCACACTTTACAACTTGTTCTAGTAGAAAACTATTTTATAGAAGAAACTATATATCTTCAAGCTAAAGCCTACAATTTCGTGGTATTGCTTTACAGATGTCAGGAGACCATGAAGCCGCCCGTAAAGCATTCATGCAGTCACTTGAAATTTACCGTGATCTCGAATTTAATACTTCTTTTAAGAGACTTTCGTTAATGAGCTCATTGTAATTTTAGTACATACAGTTTAACGACTGGTATTAACAGGATGGACTAATTCCAGATTAGTAATTTGTTTTAGTAAATTTGTTTTCTGTAGCACCTTTTTTGTAAAATAATGTACAAAGCAAAGATAACAGATCTTGTTAAGTATTACTAGGGCGGAAAATCTGATTTCTAGTTTTTCCGGGCTTGGTAATACCCCCAGAATCTATTTAGACTGATTGATATGATTTTTCAATTTTATTTTTCTTCTATGAATTCATATAGAGAGAATACACAGTTGTGAATACCTTGTTTATTTCCCAGCTTATTTTGAACCAATCCAAGGTGTGTTTGTACATTATAATATTATTTGCTATACATTTATTTTACATATCTGTGAATAAGGAGAATGCCAGTAAGAAGTCAATTCAGCTTCATAAAATATTCTGCTAAATTTATTTTACATAAATTTTATAATTGGTGCTGGTTCCCTTTAGTTGCTGCAACGGATTCGAATCTAAGGATGGCTACATCAGACAGACTGGGTACCAAGCAATTTTTATAATACACAGATTTCAGCTATGTGAGCTAAAGCAATGTTATCATTAAGTATAGTCAATGAGACAGTAGACCTCTAGTCATCTGGAGCTCGAGTATAGTCAATGAGAGAGTAGACCTCTAGTCATCTGGAGCTCGAGTATAGTCAATGGGACAGTAGACTTCTAGTCATCTGGAGCTCAAGTGTAGTCAATGAGA